CCTTGCACGTGTTCGTCTCTCTTGTAGAAACTCATACGAAATCTTTGTTTCCTTACTTCTTTCAATTCAACAGGGTATGCACCGCTTGATTGAAAGGGTGTTACGGACGAAAACGTTGTCAAACTCTGAATGTGTTTTGCATCTTCAACACACACTTTTATTCACAGCACATCCACAGCGCACAACGTTCTCTCAGATCAACGCAAACTTAAGGAGGATTAACCATTACTGGCTCAAACCATCTGGTTATAAATTCTCTTGCCATCACATTGGAACTTTATCTGCTTGACAGATTGTTTGCACAAAATATCATCCAAATATTTCAGATCACCGTTAAATACTCGAAGACATTTCAGTTTGACAGCAAATGCACATAATACACACTTGTATGTCATGGGTTTGTGAAAATGTTTTGTGGTTCAAGTGATGTGGATTGTAGTGCACCGTTGGCAAAGATTAATTTGATTGTGCTAAGTTAGTTAGAACTGCTACAGCATAAACTAAATAATAATTCTGTGAACTCTTAGTAAAAAGGTGTTTCCGTCTATACTTCTTGGTTTACATTTCATTATTACTGCGTTATATAACAATCAACATCACTGAGTGGCAAGTAATTCAACCACTTACTTCTTTCCCACCATTTTTCTTGATGCAGTCGTTTTTGCACCATGTACTTTTTAATAGCCATACAGTCAGTGTTATAGCGACTCACGTGCAAATGGGTTTATTCTCATTTAACACAGTTAAGCCCTTTTGCTAACTTCACTTACTTCTTTCCCGCCATTTGTGTTGTTTCAGTCGTTTTCCGACTATGAGCTTTTAAATAATCACGCAGTCAGTGTACTCTGAAATGCACTGTTTTAGACGAGGATGGACAGCACCAGTTCTCTTTCCCGAAATATCATTGCATGTCCACCAGTATGCATCCAATATCAAGGACGTCCTACTAATTGCCGTCCTCAGTATGCATCAACTAATACTGATCAACTGTTTCGCGGATTGGGCATTTAGGCAGAGAACTCACCTGTGCACCCCTGAAAGTACCTGCTTTGGTCTCGAAAATCAGACTGTATCGCAGCCCACACATGAATCAAACGATAATTACCAATGAAAGAATTATTCTTGTTTCAACCCTCATTCTGTTATTGTTGATCACTTAACGAGGTGATGTGGTTCCATTGCTCTAAGACTAATGTGTTCTCAAACCGCAGCTAAAGCAACATTTGAAATTTGAGTTTCTTATTTGTGTGCTCCGGTTTAGTTACATTCCCATAGAGATATCAATTGTCCAATCATACTTCAAAGCAATATTCATGGAGTGTATTTCAGATGTCAACACAAATGTGTACAGTATTCGCTCTAAATAGTCTGAAGCAATCTATCATCTAAAGGCACAATGACACATATCTAAACACTGAATGGTCTTACATGAAATCTAATTCATACGTTTCAACTAACAGGTTGTTTGGCATGCATTCCAGAATATCATGTGTTCGGAACACTATTAGAGTTAAGTTGAGAAAGAGGAAATTGACCTGACGTGATCTATTAGGACGTTTGATAGCAGTTCACGAACAATTGACTCTGTTCACATTTTATTCGATTAAGTCCTTTTGTTAACATATCTAAAGGACTGAGTCATCCGTACAATAACAACTTATATAAATGATTGAACCTTCATTATTGTTGAGAATGTATGAATATGTATGCCTGAGTATTGCTTACTATGTGCGCATATATATTCATTAGTCGCATAATTAAGTCGATGATTCATTCATTTTTCTATGTATATACATGTACAATTAATCCTATTTACTCGACTCGCTCACTCACTAATTCACGTCTCAGCTTTCTGGTCTGAGCTATTTACTAATCAACTGCAGTTGCTGCTTCTATTTGCCTTTTCATTCCAAACACCTTCGAGGTTTATATAATAACGGTTGCGATGGAGATTGGTTAGCAAAGCAACATCACTACAGTTTTATATAGTTTTACAACATATTGGAATGCAAATTTGCTAGAAATAAATATTAACTAGATAAGTGTGCAAATGCCCATACATTTAACATGTGTAATGACATGCGCAAAATATTACGTAATGTTGACCAAATTTCCACTGACAGACAATTTCACGATTTGTTAGTGAGACAATGAAGAATATGGACTTCTTGTCAACTATTTATATATAAAATGAAACACGTGTCACGTGTACAATTCAATAAACTAGTTTGTATTAGTTCACTACAAGCCACAACACAAGAAGCGATGACATTATAACGAATACACGCGAATATGAGATATTCGAAATCGTATTATTTACCATGTAGAATTAATTGGCTTTATGTAGATGTATCTGTGTGTGTATTAAGAGAGCTTGAAAATCAAACTGATGTGTTTTATTTTAACTGCGATTGAAATCGTTTGAATTGAATCTCTCAATCGTTTATTCCGCCGAATATTCACTGTGAAGATTTGGAATGCTAAGTATGATCCATTCAATGAATCATTGCAGTGTTCACCTTGTGAAAAATTAAACTATCATCCAACAGATGTAGGAGAACATGTATATCATGTCTAAGTGATAACTTGCATCATCTGGTATAAAAGAATAAAATATTTCCAGATTACCTAATGATTTATTTGATGTGTTTTTTCAATTTTATCCGTTTTGCATCATCTCAAATGAACTAGTTAGTCGGACAAACAAAATAGGTGACTGAAACAGATATGGTTATCTTCTCAATTGAACACGCTGGTAAAGAACACTCAATTGACTAATGTGTTAATTTCCCCGCAGCATAATCTATAGACCACTCACAGTCCATCGTTCGCATATCTTTAATAGAAGCATGGAAAATTCAATGAAATGGTACCAAGTACGTTTGTAATCAATGCCTACTAATAATTCGATTACATATAGCTAAGTGAAACGATTAAAGAGGATCAAAATTATCTTACACAATGGAGCATAACAAATCGTATACATATTATCAACTCTCTAAACCATGCTCAATTTATTTCAAACTATCAATTCCAACCGTGGTATTGATACATGTTAACCACTCAACTTTCATATTTCTTTTCTGTTGCTTTCTCCTTATACAATTCAAGGACGTGAACTATTGAAAAATCTCCATGATAACTTGAAATAGAGCTAGTGACTCTGGTGTAATGTGGGAACCAGTAATTCATACATCTATTCACTGCATACTTCAGTGATCATGAATTAACCACCACTCACTCAACTAAGCCATTATACTGTGTACATACAGTAATGTGTTCTATTCAAATTAGAATCATGAACGCATTCTTGTGAACACCACTCACCGTTCTCATCGGTCCGAAATCAGAAACTGTCACCTGATCAATAAAACCACTTGACTTGTCTTTGTATTTCTTACTGCTCTTTCTGATGATGATGGAAGACAATCGGCTTGAACACTGGATTCAGTTTCAAATCACTTCGTTTGCTCACATTTTATTCACATGATGATTTTCATCAGCTAAGCTGTGGATTTCGCTCGAAGTGATTGCTACTATGATCCACTGGTGGGTGGAGAGTTCTTTTGTCCGACATTTCGATCTTTCAGTAAATTTTGTAGACGAACCTACTAATACATATTGGAGAACCTCATGGTAAGTTGCACGAGTATTCCAACAAACTAGTGTCACCAACCTGTACAACAGAACCATGGAGTTCATCCTCACTCCTTAACCTTATAAATGATAATCTCTACATCGCAAACTGACTAAAGATAACTATGCAAGCTGTTGGATATCGGATCAGAATTCTACGGGTTGAACGCCATCGACAAAATCCAACAGTCGAATGTCTAACCATTGGTGAGCTCTTCGATGCACACCTCTGAGGAGTCACATATTTGAACACAACACCGGTCAAACGCATCCTTGTTTTCAATCAACCTCAAACTCAGATTAGTCTGTAAAGTAGAGCACGAGAAAATAACAATTGTTGTCTTTAATATTCTTTATTCAGGTCACAGGATAATCTTATCCTTTATCTGAACATCGTTCATTCATCCACTTATGTGTATGTGTCCGTGTACCTATTGACCTCATCTTAGTTGCATTAACATTATTACTGATATTATTTCTCAATTATGTCATGCATCAATGTTTCACACGTCCACTGTATATAATCCGCTTAACTTTGTATTCCACTCTGAACAGCCATTATCAAGCTGATCGTATTCATGATGAGGTGAAATGAAAGTATAAAAGCAAACGTGTATGTGATCGGATGAAGTGGCGAAATATTCTATTGTACAGGTGAGTAATTGGAAGATTCAGTACTCAATTGGCGTTCCATTACATTTTTTAGATTTACCTCTAAACAATGGATTCACACTGATGTATAATTTGTCAGTAATAGAAACAGTGAAATAATTCGTGAGGTATCCTCTCCAGTATAGATGAGTGTAGTGTAATGATGAGAATGGAACGAAGCTGGAAATATGAAATGTCAGAGGCTAACCTGGTGATCAGACGGTTAAGTACTCGGTATGATACTCCACTTGATCATGGTAGGACACTAATCTGGAGTTTCATACTCCAAAAACAAGTAACATGCTGAGATCTTAGATTTCCCCCAGTTGCTTTTATGAAGCCAAACAACATATATCTAAATAATAGTATATGAATTACGGATTTCATTCAGTTTTCCTGATCATGTATAGGCAACATCAATTCTGAATGATGTCCTAGAATATTTAAACGAATTCGAGTCACTAAGCATATCGTAATAAAAATATTCTAGTATCTGATCAACAACAAGCGGTCAGATATCGCTTTGAAAGCTAAAAATATAAAACATTGAAACGATTATCAATGCCGTCCAAATATAATTCTAATCAATTCACAATATTGCACGAACATCTCTCACTAAACTCATTATGCATTGTCAACTGAACTTCAATCAACATTCTACTTTGCCTTACAGATAAATAGTTCAACTGAATTTTAGACTGTTTCACCTCAGAATGGCAATTAGAATTACCTATGTTGCTATTTCAATACTTACAACTCTATTGCTCAATACTTGCAACGCTATGGAGGAATACTCATCACAAACTGATGCAACTCAATCATCGACTATAAGCGATAGCATCATGACATATGATTTCAATGACGTCTCAAAAGCAATCACCCTCATGCAGCCAGGTGACTCGGGCAATTTAACTATGTTCAACTTCACGGACCCTGAGACATTTCTGTTTGAGGATTGGATTGAAGTATCAGATACATTTCGAGTTGAAGGACGGTCTATAGCTGCACTCGTACCACATACTGCTTATGTAAATTTTATTTATACATATAATTTGACTAACACCATGTTTAGAATTATCAGTCGGCAGTATTCTTCTATCTACTCAATCCACAACCAGATGGATCAGGTTTCGCTGGTATCGACTACATATTGGATACCTGGGACTTGTCAAAATACACGGGTGTTGTAATTGATCTACATAGACAGGGTGAAAATTCCAACTTCAAATTGATCTTCTATGGAAACTGTTCGGAACTACTCACTTGTCAATCGTATGAGTCGTTTTTCGAGGTAATGTGATGTTTGAATGTGTAGAATAATTCAATGTGTTTTCTATGAAATCTTTGTAGACATCTGGAGAACGAGAACAAATAGAATTGCCATTTAGTACATTTGCACCATACTTTCGTGGAGAACCGAAACCCGATTCACCACCTCTAGATTTAACTCAACTCTCCCGCTTCGGTATACAGGTGTATGGCGGTATCTTTGCATCGAGAAAGCAATCTGGTCCAGGTTCCATCGACATATTCACCATTTCAGCATACAAGCAAGGTCAAATGCCAGCTTAAGCAAACCGAGCTTATAGGCATTATTGACAACTTGATATTTAGTGCTTATTGATACTATGAATATTTTACTTTGTATTAAGTAGTTTTATCAATAAATACCATACATCTACCTGCGTGTTTTGAATGTTTTCACAGTTATTTTACTGTTCACTCGAACGTCACTGAATGTGAACGGTGATACATGGAATAATGTTTACTTTGAATTTTCAAAGTAATTGATGAATTTTTAAAAACGTGGGGTTCAGCACATAGATCTCTTTTCACCGAACTTATTATCAAGCTGCACATTAGCACTTATATGTATAGATATGTAGATCTTACTCCTTAGAAGTCTGATTTTGTGAGGACATCCGTACAAGCAATAGTCATGATGATGTACAAGAAATAATGTAAAACTAAATTACCTAATGTGAACAATAACAACAGACACGATAATTTAGTAATGAAATACAGTATGAACGTATTAGGGTTATTGGGATGTTGCTAAGAGTTTAAGAATAGTAGATATAACTACAGAAATTTTTAAACTAATATTAACTAGTAGAAGAAACAGGAAGTGTACTGTTTAACAAAAATGACTACAATAACAAGATGAGTAACATTTTGAATGATCATCAAAACTTCATGAAAGTGAATGACCAAGAGTACGTCAGTAATAAGATAGAGGAGAATCAACTGACCAGATCTTGAGGAAGCTCAGAGATCAACAGATGATTCCGGCGAGCGTACACAAAACAACAACTCCGGTAGCTACTCATTTACCAAGGTGATACAGACTACTGAATGTATAGAAACAGGTTGCTCAATTAAACTTTTCTCCCCATATCCTTTGTACGCATGCTTCTAACTTGAGCTCATGGATGGTATGACCTTCAGCTATTTTCTGCGGTTCAATAAAAAGAGGTCTAAGTAGGTTCAGACAAATCGTATAAACAAATCTTCAATGAATCTGAAGGTCTGCAGAATGATTGAGGTCGACTAGATGTTCATATTTGTAGAACTGTGACACGATTTTCTAATATTCACTGCCATAAGAAACATATATCATTAATCGTAACTGAAATACTTTGCAACAGACGGTTGTGCAGACGAAAGAAAAATCGATGAAAACAAGGAATGTTTAGTGTATAAATGAAGGAACAATGAAGTCTGAGGCGATTGATTGACATTTGCAGAAGAAACAATCATGTTTCAAACAAATGATCAACATTTTGAAAAGAAAGTTTTTACTTCATGGTTCTATAGACTACTATTATACGAATTACTATTCATAAGTTATACCCAGTTTATTAATTACAGTCTCTCACATCCAAAGACTTCTATTGGCTTGATCTTGTATAAACATTATTTTTCATTTTCTAATAAGATGTGATCCGATTCCTTTGTGTTTAATCCAAATATGTACAAAATATGTGATTCATACAGAGGGAGCTGATATTAGCGTTTCGGAACCAACAGGTAGGGATAGGCAGGAAACTGACTAATAATGGCTCTATGCTGCTCATACCGGCCACGACGATTAGCCACATATTATACAAGCATTCCTGACGATCGAGTAGCACTACATCAGCTATTTTACCAGATCCACTTTTTAAACTTCTGAATTGCCAAACACAATACGAACTGTTATTGATATACCACAATGATCCGAAACTAAATGCACATGTAAGCCTAAATCTGTGAAAATGGCTTCGTTATCTGATTCTCAAGTGTCATTTCCATGTTCAAAACACTCACGTCTATACTACTACGGAACAGCTGATAAGTCGGAATTCAGTCTGTACCAGGTGCACTCCATACTTTAACATTAAGACAAACTGCACTGTTCCCCATTTTATATATTTTCAGCAAATGTGTGTTTCAAAATGTTGTGCAAATATATAAAACATCCTAAAACCTGACGCTGAGACAATGTATTCCTTCTCAACCGAACTCTTATCATGTTTGGAAATTGTCAGTTTGGGATGCATGCTAAACAAACCAATGGTCAAAATGTATGAAATAAATTTTGACGTTCCACCACTTAACGTGTCGATATGTTTCATCATGCCATTAGATGGCAGGTTGCGTAACACTAATGAGATTGGTAGCTGCACAGGTAAACTATCTTTATCATCATGGATTGCACACTTCAAACGTAGTAGTTAAATCTCACCAGTTTGACCAAATTACTAAACTATGGCCAAACTTGTAAAAGTAAAATTTCGACCAAGATACAAAACATTTAATCGTCTATTTCACCAGAACATAGTTCCATGTAAATGTGAAGTGATTTAAATGAAGATCGGAAATGTATGTTGTGTCATTTATTCAGAAATGCGTGTTTGGTGAATTCACGCTGCACCTTGCACGTGTTCGTCTCTCTTGTAGAAACTCATACGAAATCTTTGTTTCCTTACTTCTTTCAATTCAACAGGGTATGCACCGCTTGATTGAAAGGGTGTTACGGACGAAAACGTTGTCAAACTCTGAATGTGTTTTGCATCTTCAACACACACTTTTATTCACAGCACATCCACAGCGCACAACGTTCTCTCAGATCAACGCAAACTTAAAGAAGATAAACCATTACTAGCCCAAACCATCTGGTTATAAATTCTCTTGCTATCACATTGGAACTTTATCTGCTTGACAGATTGTTTGCACAAAATATCATCCAAATATTTCAGATCACCTTTAAATACTCGAAGACATTTCAGTTTGACAGCAAAGGCGCATAATACACACTTGTATGTTATGGGTTTGTGAAAATTTGGTGGTTCAAGTGATGTGGATTGTAGTGCACCGTTGGCAAAGATTAATTTGATTGTGCTAAGTTAGTTAGAACTGCTACAGCATAAACTAAATAATAATTCTGTGAACTCTTAGTAAAGAGGTGTTTCCGTCTATACTTCTTGGTTTACATTTCATTATTACTGCGTTATATAACAATCAACATCACTGAGTGGCAAGTAATTCAACCACTTACATCTTTCCCACCATTTTTCTTGATGCAGTCGTTTTCGCACCATGTACTTTTCAATAGCCATACAGTCAGTGTTATAGCGACTCACGTGCAAATGGGTTTATTCTCATTTAACACAGTTAAGCGCTTTTGCTAACTTATATAGCGGGCAAAGCCATCCGCAGTATAACAATTTATTGTACCCTTATTATTATTTTGTGCTTGTATGAAATATGCATGCTTGAATATTGCTTACGGTCTACGCATTTATGTCACTCTGCTAGTCTCACTACTAACCGCTTATTTGATTCGATTACTCAATAATTTCACATGCTATATATATGTCCATGTTATTTATATGGTTGACTCTGCTTTCTCGCTCGCTTGATTGTACTCGATTACTTACATTCGCTCAGTCGCTCGCTTGCCTGTTTGCCATTCGACACAACTCTTAATGCTCGTTTAATGCATCTGTAATTTTGGACATCTGTGTGTGTGGTCTCGAAATAAACGTAATCAACGCTTCGTATTCGCCTTCTGAATAATATATCGTTGGGGTTAAATAGGACGGTTATCAAGACGAATTGTATACGAAGTTTAAGGGATATATCGAATGCCGACCACCACATAATTGGTGAGCCCGACGCGCGAACACGAAACAGTCTTGAACGACATAATCCAATTCCTAAAATCCAACGTACTCAAGAACCATTATAACTATCATTTGGATTATAATTATAACTGTGGATTTATTATCTCATTATTTTGATTATACGTACATTATCTCACAAACATTATAGAACATAACGATAATATTCATAATAAACAACGATATTTTTACAAACAATTGATATTTTGGTGCAATTTAGTAAGTCAGTTCTTTGTTATAAATTGTACTATTTGTTTTTATCATTGTTTTTATGGACTCACTTTTCTCTGTGACATTCGCATTATATTCGTGTACTTTTTGATGTTTATAAATATGTCTTTAAGTAACGATACAATAGAACTTTCCCAAACGCCGTTCGTGAGGTCCAATAATGTAACTATTCCTCCTTTTAAGGTCACAGATCCTCAACTTTGGTTTATCAGACTTGAACATTACTTTGTAGATAATCGTGTTCATACACAGCGGGATAAATTTGGCCACGCAAGCTCGCTACTTCCAGATAAAGAAGCAGATAATGTACGAGAGATTTTAATCAAGCCAGACATAGAAAAGCCATACGACGCATTAAAACAGGCAGTGATTAAAGCCGTCTCATTAAGCGACCGGCAAGCCATCGAACAACTTCTCAGTCAAGTGCAGATAGGAGATAGGACTCCATCTCAACTAAAAAACTACATGAGAAGCATAATCGATGACAGAAAAGTAGATAAAAACATATTTTATCAGTTGTGGTTACGACGACTTCCAGCGAACGTGCAGCAGATCCTTGCGGTTGAGGACAGCGATGTCGATATAGACAACATCGCTAAAATAGCCGATAGGATTTATGAGAGAATGAAACAAACGAGTCCGCAAAGGCATAGTACCACAATAGATGGACGAATCAATGCATTACAAAAGGAGATTAATGTTTTATGCCACAAGCTGATGAAACTAAATCAGAGCGATACGCAAAGAGGATGGTCACGATGTAGATCGAGGGAAAGAAGTCGATCACGTTCTAGGAGACGCTCAGCTCCTACAATATGTTGGTACCATCAAACTTTCGGCGATAAAGCTCGAAACTGTAGATCACCATGTAAATTCAAACGAACACACCGAGTGTCGGTAAACGCCGCAACAACTACAACAGCTCCTAGAAACAGCCGTTTATTTTACGTTCAGGATAGAGTAACAGGCGCCCAATTCTTAGTGGATACGGGAGCAGAAGTAAGCGTCGTGCCTCCAGTAATTAACGAAACACGAAATATCGATACAGCGCTAACGCTTAAGGCAACAAATAAACATATGGCAAGCGAAAAGTAACCTTGAATTTCGGTCGTACTACCTCATTCCGCTGGGAATTCATTATCGCAGATGTATCCGTACCTATAATTGGTATTGATT